GGGCCTGTGCTGAGGGGCGGGAGCAGGCTGGGAGAGGCAAGGTGGGGGGCGGGGAGAAGGAGACATATGTAATACTTTCAACAATAAAGAATTAAAATTAAAAAAAAAAATCAATGTGAGAGAGAAACATCAATTGGCTGCTTCCTGTACACACCCGACCGGGAATCAAACCCAAACCCTGAGTGTGTGCCTTTTGGTGCAGAGGCCAACGCTCCAACCCACTGAGCCGCACCGGCCAGGGCTGGGCAAGGCTTTAAAGGCGACTAAACGAGATTCCAGGAAGAGGCTCAAGACTTGGCTGTTTCCCCCGGGCACACACGTTTTGAACGTTTTGGTTGTTAGTGGTAATGATTTCCTGCAGGCCTAGCTGCTGGGCTAAGTCATGTCCAAGAATCATCGGTTTCCCGCCAAAATGCACTGCTCATCCTGAGTCTGTCCGCTATGACTCCTGCAAGACACACGCTGCACACGAGTGGCTCCGCGGGACAAGAGGCGTGAGGGCCTGGGCGTGATCACCACGCTCCCCACACGATCTCGTCCAGGCAAAGGCACGTCCTCTGAAGGTTCATGACGACACCCAGAGGTCAGCCTACAGCGGTCGGACACCCTCAACGCACGCTGACTGGCAAGCACCCCTGTTTCCTGGTCAACAATGACCCGTCTAGACCACACCCAACAGGAAGCCGCACAAGGACTGGATTCACAGCTCTCCGTTAAACACCTACAAACCTGCGTCCTTCACCAAAGCTCACACGTCTCCCCTGGGAGCTCTACGCAACCCCAGGCCGCCCTCACTCCTGAGACGGCCCCGGGGGGGCACTGTCGGTGTACGGCGTGGCCAGTGCCCTGCTCTGAATGACAACCCCCCTCCCAGCTCACCCACCGGGTCCGAGGCTCGCCCACCAGCTCTTCCTTGCTCGTGGTGGACAAGGTCAGTGAACTACCGCAGAGAAAGCACTCGGAGGACGGTCAGAGCTGACCCACCGAGGCCCTGTGCTCTGAGGTGCAGCCCCTGCCGTCCTCCTGGATGGGACCTGGCAGGAGGGGGTCTCTGCTGTTGGCTTTAATGGAAGGGCCTGGGGAAGCGGGGGGGCCGTCACCCAGCAGGCAGGCCGGTTTACAAAGACCTTCTCAACGTCTTCCTGTTTACCTGCTGCTGCTGCTGCTGCTGGCGCTGGAACCTGGGAGGAAGGGACTTCTGGTACTTGCTGAACTCCGGCGCAGGGGACCCAGCCTCCCCGGGCCCCTCCTCACTGCTGCCGCTCTGAGCCACAGCCGCAGGAGCTGTGGGGGCCTCTTCTGAGAACGTGCTGGGGGCTTCCGGGGCAGAGAACTCGGGGGAGCCTGGGGAACAAACCACCAGAGAGAAGGCTGGCGTGGCCGCACAACAGCTCGGCCAACCAAACGTGAAACAGCAAACGCTTTTCCCGCTGGCACTGCCGCCGTGCCAGTCACAGCTTCGAACCCGGTCACTGGCACGAGCTCGAGGTCCCACACCATCCCCACTTCAGGGGGGGAGACAACGGGGCCCGAGGTCAGGTGACTGCCCGAGGCCACAGCGTTCGTCGTGGAGCGGGATTTGGGTCCAGATGAGAGGTTTCATTAAAAAGGACCCTGGGAAGTCACAGCAGCCACACACTCCATGGCAGCCACACCCATCATCCACCCACGGGACTCACAGTCCACAAGCTGAGTGACCTGGTGGGCAGCCTGGTCCTCCATCTGCACAATAAGGACAGCAGCCGCGCCTCCCCCGGGGCCCGAGGAATTAGATGCGGTAACACAGCACCTGACAGGCAGGAGGTGCTCACCGCTGCCCACCGTTATTCTCGGAAACTCCCTTCCTTCTGGCCCCCACCCAGCTCTGCACTTTCTCCAGCTCTTTCTGAAGAAGGGTGGACACTGGCTTTCTTAATTTGACTGCAGCGGCTCAGGCACCGGAGGAGCCCAGAGGCAGGCGGTGCAGCGCAGCGACAGCGCGTCCCAAGTCACAGGACCCTCAGGCCCCGCCGGGACCGGACCAACGCACCTCCCACCCACCCACGCCACACCCTCCTGGCGCTCAGCCCCGGGCGCCACCTCAGCGAGACCGAGGCCGGCACGGCCGCCCAGGACCTCAGGGGAGCGGACAGAGGGCCTGTCGGTCCCAGAGCTCCTTGGCCAGGAGGGCCCTGGTCGCTATCAGACCAGCAGGAAGACCCCCACCCGAGAGGCTTTCAGGGGCTGAGACGAGCATCAGGCCCTTGTCTCCTAAAAAGAGCTGGTTTTCATTGGTTTTAAAAATCACAAAGAACATAGTTGTCAGATTCTTTCAACCCGCCGCAAGCGACGCCCGCCGACACGGCGCTGTGCCACACGTCTGACCAGCGCAGCGCAGGCTGTCGGCGCTCATTCTGAAACCGCGGGCGCCGCGCCGGTGGCTCCTTCGCGTCCAGAAGGAGGACCCTGTGCGCTTAGTGGGACCCTTAGCATCACACCTTGGGCTGAACAGTGGTGGTGACAACCGTGACTGTGACCGTGACCGTGACGGCACCATTACCAGCAAGTGCCCGCGTGCTTCCTCACCCAGAAGCTGTGCCAAGCGCTTGGCATGCACCATCTCGGGTGGCCCCGCATGGAGGGGGGGGGCGTACTGTTCCCCTCCCACTTCACAGGGGCGGGAACCAGCTCCCACGGGCGGGGGCGGAGCCAGTGCTGGCGTGGAGACGGGGTGAATCCAGGCAGACCCAGGCTGGAGCTTCCCGGCATCCTCGCTGTGAGCCACAGGCGGGACCAGGGAGCCGGGAGCCGCAGACCCGAACGAAGAGCGCAGCCGCCCGGGGGTCCAGTTTGTGGGGTGAGAGCCCCTCCCTTTGCTTACCTCTGCGGACGGCGGGGCCGTTCTCCTGCGGCGGCGCCTTCTCGGGGCCTGGAGACCGGGGCGCGTCCCGCTCCAGCGGCCGCTGCGCCTCGCTGGCCTTCTGAGCCTGCTTGCACTTCTGGTCCAGCTGCTTGAGTTTGGCGGCGCAGGCAGCCAGCCGCTCCTCCCGGGTCCGGCGCTCCTCCTCCTCCCGCCGCCTCCGGGCGCGCTCCACGGCCTCGGACATCTCGGACTGGATGAACTTCTGCCGGGGGGGCGGCTTGTCCTCTTTGTCCTCGACCGACTGCTGCCGGAACACGCTGCCCACGGAGGCCTTCTGCCAAGAGAGAGCCTCTGGTGAAACCAGGAGACGGGGCGGCTCCCGCTGCGGCCAGTCCTTTCCAGGAGCCTCGAGCTTCTCGGAGCCGGGCCGGTGCTGGGCGGACCTGGGTTCTCCTGCTCTGCCCTTCGCTGTGTCTGGAATGAGGTTTGGGCCAGTGACGACCTTCTGCACCTCGGCTGCCCCTCTGCAGGCGGGATCGCACAGGAAGCCCTAGGGATTGTGCAGATGCCCTGGAAGGTGACCGACACCAAGAAACGGGACACGGGTCCGTGTACACTCGCCGGGGCCGAGATCAGGGCTCCGTGGCTCATTGACCGGAGCTGAAAAGCACACTTTCACCATCTCTCCGTCACAAAACTGCTCTCCTTCCCCCGTGAAAACATGTAAACCTCGGGTATAAAGAGCCACCAGACACTGAAATTCATGGTTGGATATACGGTTTCAAGGTGATTCTTTATATAAAAACAAAAAAGCATCTCTGAAAACATCGCCTGTGGGTGTGCCATCCACCCCAAATCTCTCGCTGGGGGCCAGTTACTGGACAGCAACCAGAGGCCAAAGACGCAACGTGGACAACTCACACAGGGAGGTCCTCACTGGTGTGCGGGGCGGGAAGCTGCGGGCAGCGCCAATGACCCAGGCACGGATTCCAATGGGACACTTAAGAGTGTACGGCTCCCACCCTGACCCGTGTGCTCAGTTAGCTGAGCATCATCCATGTACCGAAAGGTTGTCCGGGTCGCATGAGCTCTATCCCCAGTAGAGGAACATGCAGGAGGCAGCCAATCAATGTTTCCGTCTCACATCGATGCTTCTCTCTCCCCCTCTCCCTTTTCTTTCTCTCTAAAAGTCAATTTAAAAATCTTTTTTAAAAAATAAGTAAGATAGAATAAACTAACTCACACTTTGCACCTGGTAGGTTACAACGAGAAGAGTCTGTCACTTTTGAGAGATTCCAACCAAAAAAAGAAACCTTAGACCTAATCACAAGGAAGGACCAGACCAACCCAATTTGAGGTGCATCACAGTCATGAAAGCTAAGGAAAGGCTGTGCCAGGCTGAAGGGGACGAAAGAGACAGGACCACTGAGGCAGGAGGCTGTGGCTGCCTCCCTGGCAGGTGCCGTCAGTCCTCGCTCACACCACAGCGTCTGTGCCCACATGCTCGTCAGGCCGGCAACTTCCCTTTATGGCTCAGAAAAAGTCTCCTTTGTGTACACTTCCAACTTTTCTGTAAGCTTACAGCCTCTGGAGTTTTGTGTGAGAGAGTGAATGGTAGTAAGTTCGTGCCGGTTTCAAAAGAAATTTTTTTAAATGCCAAGAGCAGAAGACAAAGAGAGAATCTTAAAAGCAGCAAGAGAAAGAAACTCAGTTACCTACAAGGGAATACCCATACGACTGTCAGCAGATTTCTCAACAGAAACTTTGCAGGCCAGAAGGGAGTGGCAAGAAATATTCAAAGTGATGAATGCCAAGAACCTACAACCAAGATAACTTTACCCAGCAAAGCTATCATTCAGAATTGAAGGTCAGATAAAGAGCTTCACAGATTAAAAAAAAAAAAAAACTGGACTGACAATTCTGGGGAGAAAGGGGTGTGGGAGGTGCGGGAAGAGACTGGACAAAAATTGCACACCTTTGGATGAAACAGTGTGGGGCGGGTAAGGGCAGAGGGTGGGGTGGGAACCGGGTGGAGGGGAGCTATGGGGGGAAAAAAGAGGAACAACTGTAATAATTTGAATAAAGATTTAATTAAAAAAGAAAAAAAGAGAGAGATATCTTCCTAGGACTTTCAGACATCAAACACTCAACTCAGCAAAGTACAAATGCAGAGGGCATCCAACTAGGGGACTATTTGTCTTCTTCTTGGACTTCTGGTCAAATGAATGTGAAGAAAGAGAGAGAGAGAGAAAGGAGGGGGGGGGAGAGGAAGGAGGGAGAAGGAGAGAAAGAAAGAGAAAGGAGAGAGAGCCCCCCAGCTAGTCACAGGCACAGACCCCACGGTATATGGTACTCAGGGCCTGAGGCCCAGCTGTGAAGCTTCCTCGGAGGGGGCTGAGGTTCTGGCACCTTCCGGCCGACGCGAGCCACTCCCACCGTCTCGCCCCAGTCCTTTCCTTCCTCGTGGGCACGCTTGGCATCAGCACTGTCCACAGAGCTCATTGACAGCCCCCGCTGCCGCCTCGGGTCCCAGCTGCTCCTAGGACAACCGCAAGCGGTTAGTGTCCCAGTCGGCCACCTCGGTCTGGCCTTACGAGCCAGCGGTCCTTCGTCAGCTGTCTACACACCATCTCCTTCATCGGAGCAGACCCGCTCCCACCCCCTTACCGCAACAGACATCCCAGAACACCAACATTCAGCACCAACATTTACCATTCAACCTCTCACACAAAGCTCAAAGCTCCAGCTCGGCTGTTCCACACCCATTACTTTATGGGGGTGTTGAGGGGGCCCTCATTCTTCCCCTTTTAAAGAGTGGAAACAAGATTCTCCGAGAGGTGGGCAGCTGCTGGGC